TTCTACTGGATCGGATTTACTATAGTATTCCTTGATCCGTAATTCTGGAAATTCAGTCTTAAGGGCACGAACAATTCCTTGTACATCTTTTCTAAGATGACAAATAAGCGACGCACTTGTTCGATTTTCAAAGGGTAATAAAGATATCTGCTTGGCCCAATCCCAAAGCTCTGCTAGCACAGTTTCTTTATTAGGAGCCAGGTGGAATGTCTTACCTTTCTGAGGCTGGTAAATATTGTGGATAATTGAGAATGGTATATCCTTGCGAAGGGCCTTAATCCATTTGATATTAAGGTCAGTTAGGTCATTATCCATGACGATAATACGCCTTGCCTCTTGAACTAATTTATATAATCTTTCTATTGATTGCCCCGCCAAACGACCTTGTGCCTGAGCAATTATAGACACTATTTCATCAAGCCATAAATTGTATTGGCTCAGTAAACATTTACATTTTTTATTGCATTTGCAATTGTTAGTAATACGATGTAAACTCTCTATCTGGCAAACCACCCTCTTGTAATTGGGTAGATTTATATTACCATCGATATCACAATATGACTTAAGATTAAGTCTTGTAGTAACAGCGTTTGAATAAGAGTAGCGCGTGGATAATACTAGCAAATTTACATCATTAGGAATAGCCAATTTTTCAAGAATATAGGTTTTCCCCATTTCCCAAGGTGATCCCACATAAATATTGCCTTTATTGGGTAATGGTTTTATATATCTCTCCTTATATATTTCTGTAGCCATAAGGGTCTCAATACATTTGACCCAAGATGACATTTTTACAAAAGCTCTTGGGAAGCCTGAGCTTTTTACCTTGCAAGAAGGTTGTGGTAAATTTTTATTTTTTTGCAGAATTTTTTCTGTGATATATGGGTCACACTCAAAAACTTCTCCGGGTTCATCACTACCTTGCCGAAAGCATTTTACAATGAATGTTCCACTGCTAGCATATACACGACCGAACCACCGCTGATCCTTGTCATGTATATGTTTGCAAAGTGGGCATTCTAGTAGAGCTTTCCGGTTGAAATATACGAAGTTCTGTGAATCTTTTTCTTTGATAATCCAATCCCTAAGATAGTTAGGATACTTCTGCAAAACTATGTCTGCGAATTTTTGCAATATATCCTGACTCACGGTTATTCTTAGTAGATTATTATTTTTTCTATACTAAGTACATGGGGTCTTACTTCGAGACCTAAGCTAGTAGGTGGTTAAACTCTAGTATGATCGAGCTCATTCCATCCATTATCTAGTGAGAATTGAAGGATACGCTTTACGCGACCTTTTTTTGCTAAACCAATAAGGCGAAGATTGAAGTTGTAACCAGGTAATTTCTGATCAATGAACTTGCCAAATTTTTCCCCAGTTAAGGTATATACTAATTCTAAGAATGTTTTGAGTTCGTGATGGTCGATAAGGAGAGCTGGTGCATATAAAATATGATAGCTACACTTGCTAGAATCTGAAGATGTAGCAATAACTAACCCATTGAGAATATTTTCCCAACTACAGTCGAGAATTCGATACAAGGCTCTTATGAAAGATAGGCAGATTTGAATAAATACTTCTTGCGCCTTAACACCAGTTATTTCCATATCTTCCTGCGAAGTATCTATATCAATTACGGCTTTTAAAGGTTTTTGACCATTAATACATTCATGAATCCCAGGCAAACCGTATAATTCAGAAATATCGTCTGCAACAAAAAACTTTGGGGCTCGATCGTCTTGATCGATTTTGATAACCAATTTATTTTCAACCTCATCCCGGTCATAAGCGTTATATAGGCTAGGCCTTTTTCATTCAGAAAGAGGAATGAATAAATTGGAAAGCAATCTAATGAGCCTTTATCATTTGACATATCTCTAGGTGGTGATAAAAGAATTTCCCGAATACTATTTAGCAAGTTCTTGGGAGTGAAATTATTATTGAACTTTTCTTGTCTTAAAGTGTATATCGCATTAGCCTTTTGCTTTTTTACATTTGGTAGCCGAATTGATGGAGACTCGGTAATGCTGGTTGAAGTGCAGTGAGCTTCTTCGTTATCTGACTCATAATTAGACTCGTAGTTATTATAATCATCTGATCCTAATTCAGATCCATTATCAGTACAACTGCTTGAGTCACTTAAATATTCATTGGTCTCGCCACCGTCGTAGTGGGCAAGGGGGCCAGTTCCAGTGTGATCAGTTTGGTCGGAAATAGTTGTGGTATACATGTTGTCAGTAAGTAAGTAAAACTTTATATACTCCAATATATTTTCGAAATGTTTAAAATATTTTTTTCGAAGGATACAAAAAAACGTATAGCAAACTTGAATTGCAAGTTGTAAAAGAAAGATATCCAGATATATCAAAATGTGTAGGCTTCTTTGGAATCTTTATATAAAATATTGGAAGAAGCCTACACTTTTCTAGGTATGTACTCGGATATGCTGGAGGCATATGGGTGCAAATAAATATATTTAATAATACTTGGGGTATTCTTCTGCATAATCTTTATATAAAATATTGGCAGAAAAATACCCACTAATATGTACCTGGGCATATGTGGACACTTAGGGAAGGTAACTGCGTACTCTATTATAAAAAATATTGGCAGAAGCCTTCACTTTTCTAGATATGTACTCGGGTATGGTGAAGGCTTCTTTGGCGCAAATTTTATGCTCTAATGGATACAAAAAAGAAGCGATAGCAAACTTAGTTAGAAAACGTAAAAGAACGACAACTGGCTATGTATCCAAAAATGTAGACTTCTTCAGAATCTTTATATAAAATATTGGAAGAAGCCTACACTTTTCCAGATATGTACTCGGGTATGAGATAACTTCGGAAGTGCTTAGGAATAGCAATACATGGCCAGCGTAGTAAATTATGATTTCAGCCAGCACTATTCTATAATTTTGGTCGGAATTTTGGGCAAAAGAACTTGGTATCCAAGCCGGCATATAAGTAGTCTGAAACTGGAGAACTAATAGAACCTTTTTGGTTCTCTACCAGTTTTTTGCTAGTGCCATAATAGTTCTAGATACTATCACTCTACTACTATGGTGCCGAGTTGGGATCCTCAAATCATGTGTTCTAAAGATCAGCCAGAATTATAGCATAATTTTAGCCGAAATTAACCACGAATTTACTGCACCACTCGACGTGATATTTTTTTTTACCACAATTCAGTATTTTAATAGGCAACCAAACAGGTGCAAAAAGGTAAACACCTTAATATAGAATTTGGCACCCAAACAGGTGCAGAGGGCCAGCACCCTCAATATAAAACCAGGCATCCAAACAGGTATAGAAGGCCAGTACAAACAATATAGAATTTGGCGTGTAAATGGATTAGGAACAAGAAGGAAATAGCAGTATTTAGATCGTATTGTGGTAGTTAGATTAAATAGTGGGTGGTAGTTAGATCATATGGTGATAAAATATAAATATCAGAAAGAATTCAAAGAGATAGCTAGAATATAAAATAAATATCTGATATAGGAAATATATAGATTATATAGTAGCAATTAGATTACATGTTTAGATTATGTAGCGTTTATTAGATTATATTATTTAGATCATATAGTGGTGCTCAGATTATATACTGTTATTCAGACTATATAGAGATATCTAGATTATATAATGATATTCGGATTATATAGTGGTATTTAGATTATATAATCTAACCTAAGTGGGATACTACCTATAATATAATTATATTATAGGTGGTATCCCACTTTTGATAAGCATCACAAGAAATATAATTTGAATTCATTATTTTAATTATATTTAAGATTTCATTTTCTTTTTGTATAAAATCAACTGCTCCAAGGCTAAGATAATAATTTTTATTATTAATGGTATATTCTAATGACTTTAATGAAATAGAATCTTCTTGATTATAGTATTTAAATATAGAACTTTGATTAAATTCATCTCTAATTGTTATAGCAATATTTTTTGCACGCCTATTAAGTGTTGACTCAGAACATTAATCTACACATTTAACTAAATTTTGATTTCAGATGTAATTAAATATTGTCTAGCCTGATATTCTCTAATATTTTTAAGTGTCTGAAGCTGTAATCCAAAAAGCAATGGTTCAGATAATCAACTTGTTTTATTTATAGCTTTTTCGCAGCTGTAGTCGCTGATATATTTGATTTGATTTTATATTCAAAAAGGGCACCATATCGAATTTGAAATTCTGGTTTTCCATCTTTATATTCTATTTTATACTAAACTGTTTTCTGATTTTTATCACGTCCCCAGCTAGTTTTCATAGAATAGTTATTAGGAATTAGATACTTATTAGAAGGTAAAGTATAACAAAGTTTAGAGACATTTGAATAAAATCCTTCATCCTCTATAAAATAACTAAAAGATTATTGTATAATATTTTTTTTTTCTTGATAAAAGATTACGGAGCTTTTAGAGTAATTCTCTAGTTCAAACATTTTAATTTCTGATTTGGTTGTATTCGAATAGTTTGATATTATTATATTGTTAAATGACAAATTTTTAGAAAAATTGGTTTGTTTAAAGATTTTATTTGTATTTAATTGATCAAGCTATAAGAATTTAACTACTATTCAATGATAATGCATATTTATATTGAATTTTGCACCATATAGGAGGGCCCCACAGCAAAAGGTGGCTATAGGCAAAAAAAATTTTTTTTGTAAAAACTTTATTTTTGCAAAAAATTAGATTATTTAGAACATAATTTCAAAAAACTACAGAAAAAATTTTTTAGCCCATAGCTATCTTTTGCTGTGGGGCCTCCCATATGTAGGATTTATATTTTAATTATTCTAGCATAATAAATTAAATACAATTATTCCATTATAATAAATTAATAAACACAATCATTTCACACAAAAATTGCCAAACGATAATAAATTAAATTATATTACTATGATAAATTAAAGAATCAGTAGTTATAAACGCGATTGTTCTATTATAATAAATTAATTATAGACACAGTCATTCCAATACAATAAATCACCAATAATAAAACGAAAATACTGATGATAAAGGTTAAATATATTAGCAGATAAATTAATCACCAATGATAAAACGAAAATATAAATTAATAATGATAAGTTATTACAGTATTAAGAAGTTGAATAAAGAAACAATTACCAATATCTGTATATATAGTATTAATATATGAGTGCTGCCAAGGTCATCGGGCTTTTGAATACAGTTAACTATCTATGGAAAATCTCATGATAGGTTTTCTATAGATGGCTAAAAGTCCCGATGATAGGTTTTCCCTTAGGGAGCTTCTGAAAATCAGGTGATTTGCATTTATTATAGAGTATTACTTATCTACCTACACCTGATAAATGATTAATACACATACCACTATATATATACATTATATAACCTGATAGTTCTACTGACTTACTCACCCATTTAAAAATTACCTGATTTCCGGAAGCTCCTTTATAGCACTTAATATAACTATCACAACATTAACATTAACCCAGACAATTGTAATGCCAAATTGCTTCAGAAATGCCTTACGATTTTAGGTTAACACTAATTTTATTCTTAATTAGCACTAGATATTTTACACTAAATTATATATAGTATTCATATAATTATATATATAACAACATTAACTTTAATAATCAAACCTCTGCATTATTATTACATATGTACATATATGAATTAGCAGTTAATTACTAGTTATCTTTAATTTGATACTAAATAATCGATTTTATTGTAGAGAAAGTTCTATATGATTGTATGTATATTATTTAAATCACAATCACTATTGTTTATAGTGACTTTATTTTTCTTATTACTCTAATAAGTTATTCTCAACAAAAAAAAAAATTAAACAAAAGATATTTAATATAAATCAAAATAATTGGCAAATGACCTTTCTAATATTGACTTATAATTTCATTGATATTTATTATAGGTTAAATTTTATCAGTTTTTATCAAAATCAGAAATATATATTTATTATTAATTTTAAATACTTCAACAGTACAATTTTATTTTATTAATACCAGTAATCCTATATAAATATAGATATTTAACTCTTTATAATAAAATTGATCACATCTTTAAACAACATTCGCTCAAGCATACTTTGTTTAATTAATCAATCATTACTCTTTACTCAATAAAATGCCATCTAGGCATAGACTTCTATTTAAAAAAAAGAAAAAAACAATTATTAAAATCATTAAATTCAAGCCAAATGTAAAAGTATGTAATTAAACACCAGAAACAACCAAGGTGGTGTATAATCAAATACTAGAAGCAGTCAAGCAACCCATCAAACAATTCATCAAACAAAACATAAAAAAGTGATATGCAATCAAACATCAAAAGCAGTCAAGCAATCTATCAAACAACTCATCAAACAAAGCATATACGATTACCAGAATAAGGAGATAAAAGACAAGTTAGCTATTTTTGAAAATAATCAGACACCAAAGGCAATCAAGATTAAACAGTGTATACCAACATATATGCCTAATATAAATCTCTAGTTTTAGTTCTTAGTCTTTTAGTCAAATATAAATTTTTTTTAGAATTAAATAATCTGTGAATAATATTAATTGACATGAAAAACTCTAGAATTGTATTGGCTGGGGCCAAAATAAAAAAATATTAAAAATAATCAATTAAGCTGCCTAAATTAATTTTCATATAGACTATCGCCACATATCTGATCATTTAGCTAGTATTTTAGAGTTATCTTGGCTAATTCTTAAAATTGAGAGTAAGTAGTTGTATAATTCCAACAATTTTTTGTACACTATCTAAGTTACTGAAAATTAAACTTTAAAAGAATTCATTCAATCTCACTATCATATTTTGTTGTTTTTCACTTTTCTATCTGTGAGTGATTTTCAGAGAATCACTTAACTGACATAAAGCAGAAGAGAGATTAAATTAGTTACAAAGCACAGACTCTAAATGTATTAACTAAAATTTCATCAAATACTATCATATAACTTACTAGTTACATTAAATCAAAGAGTTAAACTGACGTAGACAATATAAACATAATTTCAGATATAAAGGCTAAGAACATTACCACTTTTGTCACCACTGAAATAAAAAGTGATAATTATTTGTGGAAGTTATTTTATTAGTAAACTTTAAATTCAGTATGATATAAATCAGTCAAAAATATATATTAGAGAAAATACCACAGTACTATAATTAGATTCTGTAAAGACATTACTGAAGAAATACTTTGCATATCTTGCATAGACAAAATATAATTTGTACAGAGATATATAAGTAAAAAGAAGAATAGGAAATTAGTAATGTAAAAATATAAATTCTACTAGCTATTATAGTTCAAGTACATTTTGGCGCAGCATATAAATTTTTTGTGGCAATCATCATGTCAAATGACTTGACTGACCCCTATAAAAAATTTTTGGGGTGATGCATCTACTATTGCATATTGCTGCATATTGATGCATATTCGCCTATATATTTATTATACAAAGCTAATTTATATATTATATCTAATCTTAAGTTTTAATTGATTAAATGCTTAGCACTACAGTAATATAGCAGATATTTGATTTAGTTAGAGAAGTACAGTAAATTATGTAATTAGAGTTTACATAGATTATACCCCTTTTCTCCTAGTGATAGAGCTATTAACTAATCAAATTTTATCTTTTATAATATTTAAAATATATAAAAAATTATAAGATTTAACACCTTTCGGCTATAAATTTCTAAACAACTACTAATTCAAATTGAATAAAATTTTTTTGCAAATATATATGATATTTGCTACAACATATTAAAATTTTATACAATTTGGATTAGTAGTTCTTAAGAAATTGCTTAAAAACTATAGACAATTATTTAATTAAATTATATATAATTTTTTATTAATTTCTCAAAAATCACCAAATCAAATTGGCTAAAATTTTAATATATTGTAATACTATATTATAACTATCTACAATAAAAATTTCATCCAATTTAAATCAGTAGTTGTAGGGAAAATTACAGCCAGAACTATATATTTTTGAAATTTTTGCTATATTTTTTTAAATTTATATTAATATTTAACAGTTATTCATCTATAATTTTCTCAAAAACTACTAATCCAAATTAGATAAAATTTATACTATAGATAAATATTTTATCTGGCTATAACATATTAAAATTTTGCCTAAATTGAATTAGTAGTTCTTGAAAAATTACTTAAAAACTAAATACAATTTATATAACAAAATTATATATAGTTTTTAAACAATTTCTCAAAAACCACCAATTCAAATTGGCTGAAATTTTAATATATTGTAACAAAAATTTCATCCAATTTGAATAAGTAGTTGTTGAAAAAATTTTTTTTTTTTTTAATATTTAAGGTGAGACCTTGCTCTTATCTTTATTAAACTTAATGAAAACTTTTTATATGACTGAAAAAGGTTTTATATTTTAAGCCTAGTGCTAAGAATAAGAACTCAGACATATAGCTAAGAAGACCTAGAAACTAAGTGTACCTAGTAACTTATCTGTGGCCTAAACCTAAGTTGTTGAAAAAATTACAGCTAGAACTATATATATATTTATAGTTTTTTTAAATTTTGCTATATTTTTTTAAATTTATATTAATATTTAGAAGTTATTTAGCTATAATTTTCCCAAGAACTACTAATTCAAATTAGATAAAATTTATACTATAGATAAATATAAGCAAATTATATTTCCACACCCCTTTTTTGATATTTTTACACCTATGTAAATCACTTTTTTTAAAATCTTTAATCAAAGGTATCTTGATGATAATCTGATTAAATTCGACAAATTTTTTTATTTAAATTCTACAAGTATACAGAATTCAAATAAAAAAAAATACATTGAATTGGTCAGATGGCTATTAAAATACCATCAATCAAAGTTAGAGAAAATTTTGTTATAACTATTATTCTACCTAAGAATCTACTCTGATTTTCTTTGCTATATACACTTCTAAATACCTTATAGTCTTTTATACTATCTCATTTTATTCTATTATTATAATAATATGGCTTTGAGGCTTTAGCTAACTGTAAGTCTTTTAATATAGCAAAATATACATATACCATGCCTCTTTGATTACTGTTGCTATTATTTGAAATTCAAACTATTTTTGCTCAAAATTTTTGTAGTTAACAAAATAGGGCTATTTTATATATAGAATATAGTACTTATCTGAACTCTTTTCTACTTTCTAATTTGTTTATATCAACCTTTTTTAGTGTCAGTATACTTGTTTTTCTTTTCTCAAATGGCAATGCCCAAGCCTTTTTCAATAGTTGCTTTTACTTCTCATTTATATATACAAGTTTTATATATACAGCTCTAGAGTTTCTTAGCTTACGCTACTCAAGTATTTCTTGTATACCATAATATTTTAGGCATTTATTAATTCTAGAAGCATTTGTCAAAGATGTTAGATTTTAGATAGTCATATATATTTTAAGTTCTTCTTTTTTTTGGTCAAGTTTTTTTTACTATTTACTACTGAAATATTCTGTACTGGTTTGCCTTTTGGTGCCCAGATAAAACTATTAATATCCTCTTCTTTTTTAACTTCTATTATTTTTTTTTTCTTCCACACTCAGTAGCTCTTTTTTTTTAAGTAATAAAACCCACTTACTGACTATCTTTATGCCATGATCTGCTTGTTTGCACTCTGTATACAATAGCATTGCTTTTTTTTCTGTATTTGATGTATTATCTTCTTTAAGTGTATTTATCCCACTCTTATTTAAATTCATTTTTGCTAGTCTAATTCTAATATTCTCTTTTTCTTTGACTTCAATCGTTGTCATATTGTCATCTTTTTCTCTTTTCCTCTTTAAGTTTTTTGTCATCTGTATAATTTTATTCTCTAAAAAATCTAAAAACATTTTTGCATAATTATTTTGGTTGTTTTGAGCTTGTATCTCTCTTTCTAATTTTGTATGAGACAATATTTTTGTTACTTCTTCTAGAAAGACAAGTTCTTCTATTGAAAGTATTTTGCCTTGATTTTTTTTATTTGTAATTAATTATAATAATTTATTGCACTTTACATTATTGTAACAAATTCTGAGTTCTTAAATCCTAGATATTTTGCTATGTTTATATTTGTTTTAAGCATAATTCTTCTCTGCTTAGTATAAATTTCTTGTATCCTTTTTTGTGATACTGTTGCCAAGTTTTTAATTAAATCTACTTTTATAATTTATCTATTTGTCTATTTATATTTGTTAAAGTAGTTTTTTTTCGAATTTGTCTATATTTGTTAAACTAGTTTTTATTTAAATTTTCTAGAATAGATAATTTGGTATTGCTTGTATATATTATATTTGTTTGTTTTCTAAAACTTCTAGATTGTTTACTCAAAATCTAAATACATGTACTGTCCTTTTACATTTGTTTACTTTATTGATTTAGTTCTTTGTTTACTTTTCCTATATGTTTGTTTATTTGTTTATTGCTTAGTGATCTGCAATACTAAGTTAGAGAATTTTCCCCAATTTTTCTAAATTTTTTTAAAAATTTTTCAATGAAAAGTTTGTTTTCCCTATATAATAGCAGATAAGTTTTGCTAAGAGAGATGTTTTTCTAAATTACTATAGCTAAAATTTTTAGCTCTATCTTTTGTTTATAGCTATTTTGCTTGTTGTTTTAATAAAATTTTGCTCTATTCCAAAATTATTTTTTGCTCTGTTTTTGGTTATAGTGATTGTTGGGAAGAGTTAAAAAAATATTTTTGAGCATTTAAATATTTGTATTTATTCAAGTATTTAAAATAAACTATTTAAACACTATTAGCTAATATTTTTTAATCTTATTGGCAAACTGAATATAACTCTAAATCAAATATTAACTTTGATTAGTATACTAGTATTTTTTTTAACTTTATCCAAGAAGAAATTATTTTTACAATTAGCCAACTCTCTAATAATAAAGTATATAGTCTTTCTGGTATTAACAATGAAATAATTAAATATGCTAGCTCTTCTTTTACTTTAGCTATTACTTTGCTCTTTAACTACTACTTTTTACTTTAAATTATATTTAAACAATAGAAAGAGAACTACATTTTTTCTATCTCTAAAAAACTTATCTTTAATAGTGTGATGAAAATTCAGGATATTCTATCAAAAATACCAAGAATTAGGTCGCAATGCATGCCGGAGAGACAGGTTTTACACAAAAGACATTCGGACAAAGATCATTTTTGTAATTATTTTGTAATTATGTATTTATTTAAGGGTGAATCTATTTGTCACCGATGGTGACACGGTGACAGTCACATTGGCCAATCACGACATAAGATCAGATGTTACGTTTGTGTAACATGAAAACAAAGAAAACAATGAAATTTTTTAAAAATTCATGATAACTCAATTTCATCTATAAACCCACCTTTAATGTTCCAATTAAAAAAATTTCTTGCAAAAATTTACTATATACTATGCCTAACCCAACCCTAACTTTGTTCTAACCCTAACCCTAATGATAATTAATTTTGGCATTTGTTTTGATTTTGTTACTTGATATGATTGGCAAATTGCAACTGTCACCGTATCACCGGCGGTGACAATTACATTATTTCTTTATTTAATAAAGGATTATGAAATTTGTATAGGATATATATCAAACTTGTTATTACAAAGAGACAAAAATAATGCCTTTAAATACATGTTTTAGAGAAAAAGTAAAATAAATTTAATAGGTTCTCTAAAAATAAGTGGGTTGTTTGAGTTGTGTAAGTTGTATAAACCTTACAGGGGTGTGTGGGTTGTATAGGATGTATAGGCCTTGTAAATACATATGCATGAATTATAAACTGCATATAGGCTGCAGTACTCCTATACGGAGTAAGTTAACTAATTGTAATATACAAATAAAAGAGGTAATTGTCATGTGCTAGAAAAATAGTCACATGCTATAAACTAACTACTATAATACTATGATACTATAATTTTTATTACATAGGGTAGAGTCAATAGAAAAGAGACAAATTTTTTTTAAATAAAAGTTTTCTTGACTTTAAGCTTAAATATCTTAGCAATTATCTTATTAATTTAATAATTATTTTTTTATTTTAATTCTTTATAATTTTAAAATTAAAATAAAAAAATTTTGAGCAAATTTGGTTAATTAGTTATTGAGATATTTTAATTTAAAAATTAAAAAAATTTCACTAAAAATGATTTGTCTCTTTTCTATTGACTCTATTTCACATATTCTCCTCCTTAGAAAAGCGAAGTCCTCTAAGCTAAAATAAGTAAGAAAATAAATCCAACATGATAAAATTTAACTTTAAAGAAAAGAAATAGAAAAAATAAAAATGAAATAATAACTACAAAATTTCTTTCAACTTTTATGGATTTTAGGTTCCTTGGTTTACCTATAACCAGAATAATACTTCCACAAACTAAACTAAACTCCAACTAATAAAATTTGTAGTATAATATAAAAATAAAAATAAAAATAGAGTTAAACATAATAAAAAAAGAAAGTTATAATTATCACTAATGTGTACATAGTAGAACCTTCCAAGCATTAATGTTTAAGAATACGTGATAAAATCTTCCTAGCTTGAAATTATAACTTAAAAATTTTTTTACAACTAAGGAGAATAAAAATAAAACAATTGTATATTTTCTAATTTAAAAAAAGACAAACCTATATACTATTTAAAACAAACAATATTATAAAGATAAAGGCAAGTAATAACATGATAAAATAATATATAATAATTTAAAATAATTAAAGAATAAAAGGAAAAATTGTTAAATTATAAAAAAAAAACTTCAAAAAACTTTAACAAATAAAATAATAAAAAAAACTTTGTTATCCTAATATTTCAATCATGAAGAGCCATCTGTATCCCTATAGAATTTGTATTCAAAAAGATTAGCTCACTTCTACCAGTCTCAAACCCTAGTCCTCTGCACTACAGATAGACGTTCGCACCGGCTGTTCATATCAGGATAACTACTAAAATTTAAAATTATACTCCTTAAAACTATTAATTGTATTACTATATTATTCAATCAAATAACATCAAGGTCATGTTATTTGAACTTTAAAATATATTAAAAGAAATTTTTTCAACATAAATAAAACAAAGAACAAGAAGAACAAAAGAAAAATTCAAACATGCTATGCACTACTAAAGGATTAAGCAAGAAACATCCTAATAGAAAAGAGCAAGTGCAAAATAGTAATATAATAATAGAATAAGAAATAATAACACTAATATAATAGAAAAGAAGAAGAAAATGAAGAGTAGTAAAAAAAGAAAATAAAATAAAATAAAAATAAAATATTAATTCATAATATAGAGGAAAAACGTATATGTGGGAGTTAGAAGAAGAAAATGAAGAGTTGCAAAAGAAGTTAGAAGAAGAAAAAGAAAAAGGAAAAGCAAGAGAAAGATGGTTTAGAAATAAATTAGAAGAAGAAGGAAAAAGATATGATATATTGTGGAAAGCAAAGAAGAAATTTGAAAGAGGTTTAATGCTTTAAGGGATAATATAGGTGAGGTGTTAGGGATAATAGATACGAGAATAGAAATAGAGAAGGATAGGCAAAGGTTAAGAGAGGTATATAATATGGAAGATTTAAATAGAGAAGAAGAAGAAAAAGAAGAAATAGAAGAAGATAATAATGAAGAAGAAGAAGAAGATAAGATAGATGAAGATTAAATAAAATAGATAAATAAAATAAAATAAAAATTAAAAAGTTTTCCTTAAGTTATTAAAGATAATATATATATCTATTGTTATATTTTGTCATTAAAGTTTTTATTTCACTTCAGGTTCCAAAGCTTAGAGAACAAAGATAAGTATTATACTTTTCTTTTTTTCTTCGTACTTGATTTTTCTAGATTATTAGTCTTCTTTCACTTGTTTAGGGTCTTCCTGAATGATTATTATTTAAGATCGGGGCTTCTGAGACTTTTTAAAGACCAAGAAAGTCAAAATTTTGCTTGTTCTAGTAATTTTTGGTGTCTGTGACATTACCTATATATACGTTGGATCATCTACTAATTTCTCTTGATCTCTTTTTTTTTTTATTATTCTCTCTTTCTAGCTTTATATTTTTTTTTAAAAAAAAAAAATATACTTTTTCTTAAATATACCTTTTTATACGCCATACTTTCGACTTTCGGTCTACCTCTACTTCTATTTCTTTTACTTTTCTGGGGCTTTAGGACTTTCCTTGGCTAAAATCGCACTAGATTCTTCCACGCTTGGACCTTTCTATAAGGTACTAGAAGAATCTATTGTAGATCTTTTGCTTCTGGCATGTCTGTGGCGATTTTGGGGTAAAGTTCTCTTCTTTTTGATTCATTCATTACTTTAGGTTCTTCTAATGACAATTTGAGATAAAGTTTCCTTTGGTCTTGGCTTTGCAAAGATATTTTTATGGCGAATGGGCTTTGTTTAGAAACTCTTACCAATCTTGGATATATATGGCACAAGATTCATGAGCCTTGCGTTTCCAGCGAGTCTTTTCGGGCAAGGTTTTGCTATTTTCGCATGTCTTTTGTTCCGATTTTTGCTTTTTTTAAAAAAAATTTTTTTTTTTTTATAATATATTTCTATTTTAAATTTAGATTTGCCGGCTCTTTCTTTTTTTTTAGAGATTCAGTTCAACTTATTTTCTTGAGATTCAGAGGTTTGAAATCTTTCATTCTAACAGGTAAAGAACTTCATATACAACATCATGTTAGATTTTGCAAGCTTGCTTGGAGTTTTTTCTTGCTGGTAAAAATTTTTTAAATCTTTTTCCAAGTTTTATTAGTTGTCGCAAAACTTTTTGGATCATTGGGGCCTAGTTTATGCATGTATAGAGGTGCCGAGTAGGCGAAAAGCCTTCAAGATAAATTTTTTTTTTTTTTTTTTGTATTATTTTTCATTTGTTAATGGTTTTTATTCCCTTTTGCAACATTACTCGACTCTGGAACCTAGAATTTACTGGGTCTTCTTTTTGCTATTGCAGCAACCAGAAGCTTATTTTCTTCTAGTTACTGATTCTGTATCTACAAGACAACATAGGGGTTTAGCATAACCGGATTTATAAATAAGGTCTTTTGGGTTTTGTTTTTTTTTTCTTTTGAGATTCTTGTTATTAACCCTGTCTTTTTTTTTTTTTTTTGTTAGTTGTTCTTGTCTAGAGCTATATTCTTTTCGAAATAGTGTTATCGGTATGTATACATTGGGTTTTATTATACTCTTGCTAGTTTTATCGAAATCGAGAGATTAAAGAGAACTCTCATTTATCTAAACAAGCTACTTAGCTTAGGCTGAAGACTTTTGGAATGGTTTATTTCGGCATTCTTTTCAATTTAGATATAAGAGGTCTTTAGTTTTCACTAGAACTGAAAACTAAAACTAGAGTCATAATAGAGTAAGTATCTATATATTAGTTATGTAGTCTTTCTTTATTCAAGACTCTAACTAGAGTTATAATAGAGTAAGTATTTATATATTAGTTATGTAGTCTTTCTTTATTTAAGACTCTAGTCCAATTAATTTATATATATATATATATATATATATATATATAACTTGGGTTTGATATATATAAGAGCCTGTTTAAGATAATATGAGAGGACTTGATAATGCAGACATAGAATGCAGAACCGGAATAGCGGATTATAAAAGGTTTGATAAAACTGGTTATACTAATGTATATTAGTTCCTTATATGTAGTCTTTGTTTCTTTTAGTTCAAATCTAATTCTTGGATTAGAACCCAAAAGGAATATAGCATAAGATTTTTCAAAGTGGCATATTCTTTTTTTTTTTTTTTTTAAGATTAGTATATAAGGCCAATTAATTCTATTTTGTTACTCTATTTTATTTTACTAATTAGCTTCGACTTTTTTTTTTTTTTTTTTAGAGCAATATTATATAAACTAGGATAGAACTATAACCAGGTTTGGATCAATTGTGAACAAAGTTGCACAACTAAGTAAAAACCAGAATGTAAGACTCTAAGTTTTTGAACTTGAGGCACAGGAGCTATTTAGAGCAATATATTCTTTTTGTATATTATATGGCTCTGTTTTTTTTTTTGTATATAGTTTTGCTTTCTGTTAATGCATTTATCCTGCTAACAATTAATTTTAAAATATGGGATGTGAAGCAAAACGTATCAGTCATGGATGTACGAATCAGAAATTTTCGAAACGGCATATCCTTTCAATATGTCCCCTTGTTTGTTTTTAATTATTATGTTTATTTTACTAATAGTTCTTTTGAGAACAGAATTTTAGACAAAGGTACAGAATGCAAGAGTATGAAGCAATATATATCAAGTTGTATGAACTTGGACTTTCAAGGCGGCGTATCTTTTTTTTACACAATAGATGTCTTTGCTTTGTTTTTTATTAATGTATTGTTCTACTAATGTTCTTTAGGTTAATGGCATTATAGGTAAAGAGGTATGGGACGTGAAACGTAGATTGAGCAAAACATATAGGAACATAAATACTCTAATCGAAATGTGAATATGGAATAATAGTTTAGGGTAGCTATTAGAATATGGATGTGGGGAATGGGTATGATATGATATAATAGGATTGGGGTATATACGGGATTGGGTCATTAGTGTAGAAATAAATGTGACGATTCTTCGCCGAATCTTCTGTATAGATAACCAGTAGTTCTGTTTTTGTTGCCAAATGTGATAAAAATTTCAGATATTTTATCGAGAATACCAAGAATTAGGTCGCAACGCATACAAGAGAAATGGAAAGCATTCGGACGAAGATCATTTTTGTAATTATTTTGTAATTATGTATTTATTTAATAAAGGATTATGGAATTTATATAAGATATATATCGAACTTGTTATTACAAAGAGGCGAAAAGAATGCCTTTAAATACATGTTTTAGAGAAAAAGTAAAATAAATCTAATAGGTTCTCTAAAAATAAGTGGGTTGTTTGAGTTGTGTAGGTTGTATAAACCTTACAGAGGTGTGTGGGTTGTATAGGATATATAGGCCTTGTAAATACATATATATGGATCATAGACTACATAGGCTGCAGTACTCCTATACAGGATAAGTTAACTAATTGTAATATACAAATAAAAGGGGTAATTGTCATGTGCTAAAAAAATAGTTACATACTATAAACTAACTACTATAATACTATAATACTATAATTTTTATCACAATAGTAATTTACCAAATACTAAACTAATTAGCTTAGTTAAACATATTAGAAAACTCTATACCAAACTTCTTATTAACCATTTTAATAATATATTATCTCTATACAATATCTTTTTTCTTTTTAACTATATTAATCTTTCTGGCATCAGAAAAAAATTTTTAGTACTGTTTTGTACAAATTTACAAAAAATTAAATAATAAATTAAATGAAAATCTGTACAAAACTTCAGACTTACTAGCTATAGCTATAAAAATTAAAATACAGTTTTGTATAAAATTTTAAAATATAAAAAATTTGGCAATTTTTTGCAAAAAATTCTGCAAAAATTTGTATTTTTGCAAGTTTATTTTGTATTTATTTAATTTTATGAAAAACAACTCTATATAAATTTTTATTTATATTAAAAAATTTTAAATATAGATAAATAGCAATTACTATCAAATTTTAATAACTATCAATAATTCTTATCTTTTTTTTTTTTTTTTTAAGCGATCCTGCCTTTATTTATGTGAACAGCTATAAAATTTATATACAATGTACTAAATTTTTACAATTTATTGCTCTAACTCAATAAAGACTCACCAGGTTGAAAACCCAATGCGACCTGCTATAACAACTGTTTACCTCTCTC